TGGTGAGTTTGTTTGTAATTGAGATTTCTTAATAAACTCATCGAGTTGCTTATTGTTGCTAGTCCATCCATTGGATACTTCTTTATGTCCGCAAATGCACCACACAGGACTACATCGGAGTATTCCACATGTAGGGCAGAATCCATATCGAGAATAACAATAATAAAAGCGTTTATCAGCAACCATGAAATACTTGTCATTAGACTTGGTGAACCCTTTTATCATGCTGTTGCGTTGACTAAGCCATTTTGCATAGCGTCTAAATTGACTGATATTATTGTTGTACTTGTGTGTTGGAAGTGAGTATATTCTAGCAAACTCACTCACAAGTGTTGATGTACATTCTCCGCTGTTTCCAAGGCATAGCAGCATTACTTCATCACCATATTTGCGAGTAGCATTGTAGACGTTGTCAATTTGGCTTGACTCTATGTTGGTAATTTGCGAGCAAGAAAGCCACTCAAGTCTTAAGTATCCATATTCACTTTTTGAGGATTGAATCAAGTTGTCAATTGCTGGATTATTAACCCCTTGAATTGATGACATCGTTGAATAAGACGGAGAGAACCGATGATATTAAAAGTATTCGATAAAAGCAGATTGAAAAACTCTAACCAACATTGTTATTAATATCAACGCTAATACATCTTGTTTTTGGTGGGTTAGAGTATAGTATTCAAATGCTTACGAGGGGGCGAAGGTTATTAATGCTAATTACAACAATGTTCTCAAACTAAGATTTGGAATCGGAATCAATTTATTAACAATTTAAGTTCTCTTTACCATAACGAGATTTAATAAGTAAATAACATATAACATATGGACGTCAATCATAACGATAGGAAATACGCCAAGTCTGCAAATAAATTTTTAGATGAATGTTTTGTGAGAAATTACTTTTACAATGACATCTTCTAATAAAAAGCACTCAAGAAAAGACCACATTACAATTGCTGCAATATGTTGGGAATTGGCCGCAACGAACGCGATGGAAAACCAAAATAAAAACGTCGCTGTAATTGTAATATCAATTACATCATCAATTTCCCTTGCAATATTCAGCTGAAAATTTCAATGTTGAATTAGCGAGCGGTATTTAGGTGTAATGACAAGCAAGTTACTTATGCGGCGGGAAGGCTCATATGCCCTGTTGAGCAAACCATAGAAAACGATGTTAGTTCAATGACAGAAAGGAAGGCTGATATGAATTCCAGCACTTAAGAATACTGGCTCGATGTATTTAAACGCGATGTCATTATTTTTTCACAAGAAGCACATGAGCGTGTCAATATTTAGATTGTCGGACAGTTTAGGCAGCCTCCTATTATAAACTGATTCGCGTATAAAACGCTGGATTTAGCGACCCTTGAATACAGGACGGCGTTTTTCCGCAAATGCCTTGAGTGCTATCAACACAATGAATGAACGACGGGATATTGATATTGAGAATGACTTTCATTTATAAATTCGTCCTTACCCTCAATACGATCTTCTGTTGGAAGGACCTGATCATAGCACGACTGCTCCACTTTCAGGCCCGCATCTCTAAGCATTACAATATTAGTAAATCTACTCGTATAGCTTGAACAAGCAACAATTAAAAAAAAAAACAAAACTTCATACAGGTCAAGTTGGCTCCCATGATCGATCGCTACCTTTGCCATTCGGAGTGCAATCGGTCCTTTATAAATTGAAGATGCATCGTATATATAGAAGCTTGTAATTCCCATTCACTCAGGAAATTAGACCAGGTGATGTATACTCACCACCAGGCAAGATCTCTCTTGCCAAATTTAGAGCTATTTGGTATCCTGACCCTTCCTTGGCTGCATAATTCACGATGCCTGTATTTGAAAGTTTAATTATGGACGCTGAGGTACACTATTATTTCATAGAGTCAGACGTATACCTTCTTTCAATGCTTGCTGGGCATCAAGTATTCGCCCAGTGTAAATTAACTCCTTGGCTCTGGCAAGCCCAATTAATCTACTCAATCGCTGTGTGCCGCCCGCCCTACATAGGCAAAGGTGTTAAATCGCGATCTCCCTATTTCTCTCCAACAATACAGTCTCAATCGACAATAGGTACCCAGGAATAATAGCCAATTTTGTTTCCGGTAGCCCAACCTTCGCATGCTCTCCTGATTGACAATACGCAATATTTTAGTCACAAGGTAACGAAAATCAATTCTATTACCACGCACGGATAATACCTGCAACTCTCATATCACAACATAATGCTAGCTCAAGTCCGCCGCCTAACGCGACGCCATCAATCAATGCAATAGTCGGAATGGGGAGAGCCTTGAGGGGAGAATGTTGATAAGCCTATTAATAATTTATCCCCTCTATTTAAAAATATCTACATGGTTAATTTAAATAATAATATACTTCGAGCTCATGGAATGAAACCCGGACTGTGTGAAGAAATTGTTTGACTTCATCTACAGACATCGTCGCACGCTCCTACACATTCGGGCAATTGTACCTTTATTATATAATGTTTTGTACAGTGCTTGCGTTCGTCTAATTAATAAATCAAACCTTTAGATCGGCTCCTGCGCAAAAAGAACCTTGAACCATACTTTTCAACAATACCACTCTAGTCTCACTTGTTGAAATAGTTAATAAATTAAATGGAAGCTCGCGGCCACCAAGTCATTAGTATCATCGTGAACATACTTGTCATGTTTTAATATTCCAACGGCTTTACGAAAGCTTTCAATCAATTTTCTCGAAAGAGCGTTTTTAGCTCTCGGTCGATCGATACACAGTATAGATATTCCTATTCGTAGAAATCTGTTCAATTGATAATGTTCAATTTGTCCAGTATACAAAATGATAGACTACAATTGCTATATCGAAAAGTCTTAGAACACCTTTATCATCTCCTGATAAATTCTCTATAAAGCATTGTTCGGTTTCTCCTGCCGCGGTTCCTGTCTGAAGTGTTCGTCGGAGATTAAGACTAATTGCAGAGCGAGTAACGCTCCTCAAAGGAACAACACAGGACTTTAACACGAGCATTTATCAAGAGCGGCGTCTCCTTTGAAACGTGGCATTTACGGTGTAATCACGTGCCAAAGTTACTTCAGGCGGTGTAGATTCTGATTTGACATGTAATATTAAATAACAACCTTTTGGATAGGCAAATCGACCTAGTCAATCTTTTAGACAATAAAATATTTCCTTGGAAGAAGACATGGGAGTTCCAGCCTTATTCAGGCATGTTACAATGACTAAAGATATTCTCTTTATGCGTATATGACCGGTTCGAATCGCTGATGCCATGATCTGTCTCTACCTCAACCTTGTTGCAGGTGGTTGTCAAGGAAATACCCTAAAATTGTAGAAAAAGTCCAGGAAGAGCTCCCGTTAGAAATCAATGGCATTGAAATACCAGTTGACATATCAAAGCCCAATCCAAATGGAATAGAATTCGACAACTTGTACCTGGATATGAACGGAATTGTTCACCCTTGCTGCCATCCGGAGGATAAGGTATGAATTAATCTCTCTCTTTACTGCGTTATGACCATCAGCGTATGCGTACGAGACCAAGTGCACAACTTGGAGTGTTTGGACCTTTCGGATTCATTGGTTGCAGCACTTTTGTCGGCTTGATTACTAATAGATCATCAACTTCATTAAACCATACAGCCAGCACCAGGAACAGAGGGAGAGATGATGGTGGAAATATTAAAATATACTGAAAGGATAATTTCGATGATTCGGCCTCGGAAGCTACTTTACTTGGCAATAGGTAATGATTTTCCCATTTTTCGATCAAGACTAGCACAGTCATATGATCTTACTGAACGAAAACCATATGACTGTTTGTTTTTACTCATCCAAAGACAAGCCTAGGCCACGGTCAGTTATGTGCAAATCACTAATGTAAAGGTTTAATACGTAGACGGAGTGGCTCCGCGTGCCAAGATGAATCAACAACGCTCTCGACGGTTTCGAACTGCACAAGAGGCGAGAGAGAAAGACGAAGAGGCAGTAAAGCAGATGGAGGAGCTTGAAGGTGGGTGCTGATCTAGCGCTGATTGTTTGATATCTGATGATTTTCGGTTTACTAACAAGTATAGATTAAACATAGCTCAAGGAGGAATGGTCGATCCCGAACTCAAAGAAAAAAAGACTTGGGACAGTAACTGTATCACACCTGGTATTTAACTACCCATCATTTATTCCCAAATTCTTCCTGTTTTTTCGTGAATGAGTTACTGTCTAGATGCTAAAATATCCGATTCTGATAGGTACCGAATTCATGGCGAACTTATCTACGTGCTTACGGTACTGGGTTGCAGAGAAACTGAACAACGATCCAGGCTGGGCCAAGGTATACATTTAGTTTATGATTTTTTCACATCTTTTTCTATTACCCTGGCCCTTACCACTCTCTTCAACATTTTTAGCTGAAAATAATACTTTCGGACGCTAGTGTACCTGGAGAAGGAGAACATAAAATTATGGATTACGTTAGGGCACAGCGGTCTAATCCTCAGCATGATCCCAACACTAAACATGTAATCTATGGTTTGGTAAGAAGACAGTTTCCTATATTTCAAGGCTTGGGTTTTAGCTCATGATTAGAGTTTACCTAACTGCTAATCAATGATAGGATGCGGATCTTATCATGTTATCATTAGCCACGCATGAACCGCATTTTAAGGTGCTTCGTGAGGATGTCTTCTTGCAAGAATCACAGGCAAGAGGTTGCCACATATGTGGACAGCACGATCATATCGCGGCCCAATGTACAGGTATGCTAAACGCTATATACACATTTCGTTGATGTTACTGCTATTGATATTCCACCTCCCGCCGAATTCAATATTAGGCAAGGCAAAAGAAAAGGAAGGAGAATTTGATGAAAAAGGAAAGTCAAGCGGTTTAAAGCCGTATGTGTTCCTTGATGTGCAAGTATTACGAGAGTATCTGGAAATAGAGTTGGATGTACCAAATCTGCCGTGGAGGTTTAATCTTGAGAATGCAATAGATGATTGGGTATTTCTTTGCTTCTTTGTGGGAAACGACTTTCTACCTCACTTGCCTTCTCTCGAGATAAGGGAAAACGCTATTGACACACTAACAAATATATGGAAACGCGTTTTACCAATTATGGGAGGTTATATGACGCAGTGCGGAACTGTAAGCTATGGCACAAGTACTTTTTTACTACGATTGTGCTTTTTTATCAATGAGCTTGGTTGCTTCCATTTTCTTGACATTACTTTTTCCTGAAACTACTTAGGTAAATTTGGCGCGAGCTCAGTACCTTATGTCAGAACTTGGTATGATGGAGGATTCAATTTTCCGTCGAAGACATCAAGGTAAGTTGTCTTTGAATCTTAACTCCCTAAAATTCCGATTACTATACGAATTTTTTGATCCCTATTAGAGGAACAGAGGCGAGCGGCCCATCAGGCGAACAAATTACGAAGAATTCAGGAGAACGCGACTGAAACTCAAATAGGTGATGTTAGTACAGGAGAACCTCATTATCCTCCAAAAAGAGTCCGAGAGTCGGAAGCTCTTGCTAAGCCTCCAGTCGGCATCCCAATTCTACCGGTTAAAGGTGTGGATGCTAGATTACGCGCTCAAACAAATAATCAATTGGTGAACGACCGTGCAGCAATCAGAATGGCAAACGATCCTAACCGTGTGGCTGCACAATTAATACGCGGTGAGTTGAGAGCGGAGCAGAGCACTAAAAGTGAAGTACCGCAAGTTATCGGTCATAAACGGAAAGCGGATGAAATGGAAACGGACGAAATTAGTGAGGTTAAAGAAGAGAAACAAGAGACCGAGAATGAAGGACCTACGGATAGTGTCAGGTGAGAAGAAAAATAACAGCCTAACTAGATTGATCATAATTGTGTGCTGATCGCTTTTATTGTCGTGATAGACTCTGGGAACCCGGATTCAAGGAGCGATATTACAGGGATAAGTTTGGTGTAGAATTGACTGACACCGCTTTTTGCCGAAAGTATGTTGAATTTCGTATTCTATTCGTGATATAAAACTTCTGGCTTACTCACAGTCATTCCTCTCGAAGGGTTGTAGAAAGCTATATTCAAGGTTTGTGTTGGGTGCTCAAGTACTATTATCAGGGAGTTTCTTCGTGGAAGTGGTTTTATCCCTTTCATTATGCACCCTTTGCATCCGATTTTGTTGATATTGCCAGTATTACTGTTGAGTTCGAATTGGGCGATCCCTTCAGACCGTTTGAGCAGCTAATGGGGGTACTGCCTGCCGCAAGGTTAGTTTCAGTTTCATTCAAGCGATCAAATGAAAGTATCCATAACAATCTCTTATCATTTGATGCTGCTTATTAGTAAGGAATTCTTACCGGCACCTCTAGCAACAATGATGGTAGATGAAAACAGCGAAATCATAGATTTTTATCCCGAAAAATTCCGAATAGATCTTAATGGGAAAAAATTTAGTTGGCAAGGTATTTATTGGCATATTAATATAGACGATGGATGTATTTATTCTAAAGCGCATATTGTTATAACTAAACATGTTGTTTGTTGATCTGCTTTAGGTGTTGCCATCTTGCCATTCATTAATGAAGATCGTCTAATGAATGCAATAAATAAAGCATATAATAATTTAACTGAGGCTGAAAAGTTTCGAAATAGACGCGGAAGCGATATACTATCTTTTAGTAAGAAGCATAAACTTTATGATGAACTGTGTTCACTTTATACAAAGAAGAAACCTAATGAGGTAAGTTATATGGTTATAATTATTGGTGACTGAGAGTAGCTTCCTCTAAAAAGAAATTTGGTTTTTCTTCAATTCTAGCCAATACCTTTAAATCCAGCTCGGTCAGATGGGTTGGTCGGGTTGGTCTCTCACGATCCAAACTTTATACCAGAAACTACCTTTGTTTCCCCGTTACCAGAGTATGGTATGGGGGATATTAAAAACAATAAATCATTAAGGTAAAGTGTGCAATATGCAGTTTTTTGCACAACGTTTACTATACATACTAATTACGGATATACTGTTCTAATTAGTGTATTCTATCATTTACCCGAGAAAATCGAACATAAATCAATTCTATTAAGAAACGTAAAATTAGCACCCCGTATTCTTAATTGGGAGGATCAGGATCATGTGAGAAGGGGTGGTCGAGGGAGAGGTAGGGGAAGAAATGACTATGGAGGTAGAAGGAATGACTATGGAAATAGAAATGACTATGGAAATAGAAATGACTATGGTGGTAGAAATGACTATGGTGGTAGAAATGACTATGGTAGAAATGATTATGGTAGAAACGATTATGGTGGTAGAAACGATTATGGTGGTAGAAATGATTATGGTGGTAGAAATGCAAACTTTTCACCACTTAATCAAAAATGGCAATAAATTTATCGCTTTTGCTTGGAGTTCTTCTTGTACTTGGGGCAAATTACTTTTTCTCGTCGGCTATAATGGAATTACACCATGGGTTCCAGTATTCAAAATCCCCAAGGAACAAAAAAGAGGGGTTTCCTCCTTGCTGGAAAGCGCCGAAGCATACCGATCAATGCCTTACAATATCCAGATTAGTAAATTGGTAACTGCAATTTGAATTCTGCTACTGTAAATTCATGCAGTCAAGAATATAGCGATCGACTAGAAATCGCGTATCCTTTCCGAATTTGTGTTTCATTTGGGAAATAGCGAAAAGGCTATAACGTAGGACAGATCGTTGCGTTTGGTTAAATAGACATGAAAAAGAGCGGGGGTTCCTGATAAAGTTTTTGCCAGCGCTAGTTACTAGGCTTTTATAGAAGTGACAACCCGCGCTCCAAATGGTCATAATTATGAAGTCTAAAAGTCTTACCGATGCAACAAAAGACCATATCAGTCCAGACATTTACGTTCGTATAACTTCCACGAACAATATTACTGTCCACAATGTTATCAGTTGACATTCCTACATTTTTCACGACTCTTAATTATCCAAATGTTCTCGCTCTTTCGATACTCGCCTTTATTCTGTACACAATCAACTTTTATGTCTTGTACTTTAACCGAGAAAATGCGCTTCCTGGCCCACTTCCTTTACCCATAGTAGGCAATCTTTTTCAATTTGCCATCCATGGAGACATGGCAGCATGGACTGCTGATCTTCGCAAGAAGTATGGTGACATGTGGGAGGTGTATCAGGGATCCGAGAGACACGTATGGGTCTCGAGAGCCGATTTGTTGGATAAACTGTATAGTGTATCAACAAAGAGTAATTACAAATGTCGAACAAAAGGGAATAGAGCAATCGGCGAAATCAAAATGCTAAACAATGGAGTTTATCTGAATACAGATGTGGATATTTGGACCTTCAATAGGAAGATGATGAAGCTCGTGTTAACATCGGCCGAATTTATTGACTATGCTACTAAACATGTGCCAAAGGTGGTTAAGGAAATGGAGGGATATTGGGCAAGGTTGGGATACACAGACAATAGTAGCGATGGCGATAAAACCTTTAATCTTCCAGACTGGTTTCATGCATTATCTTTAGACAGCATACTGTTCCTGTCTGCTGGTAAGAACGGTTGCGGTCTTGCATCTCTCTTTGTTTCCATCTCACCAAATTCCGCGGTACCTTATTCGACCGAAACTATGAACGAGGCCAAGGAACTCCGCAATTCTTGGTCGACATTCTTGGACACCTTGCGCACAGCTATATTTGTTCCCGACTTTATTAGATTGGGAACTCCACATGGATTGATGCAAAGAAGGAAATATCTAAAAAATTTCCACTGGTTGAATAACAGCCTGTTGACGATGATTGGAGAAAAGAGAGCCGAGATTGAGAGCTACGATGGCAGTGATGGGCTAAAGGGCGACTACAATATGCTGAGACTGTTGTTGGTTGCGAATACCCCTCGTGGACCTAGTGTGAACAGGGGATCGGATAAAATAGACAGAGCCATGACTGACGATGAGATTAGGGGAGTGCTGCTAGAAGTGCTCGTTGCGGGTATAGAAACGGTATGTAACATCTGATTCAATGTGTAAGACAGCAGATGGAATGATGCTAACCGCCGATCTAATCAATCTGTAGTCTGCCAGTCTTATGTGTTCTGTCATATACTTGGTCTGTCGTAACCCAGAAGTGAAGAAAAAAATACAGGAGGAGGTCGATCCACTGTTCAGAGATGACCTGACGCGAGAATTGCACCTCGATGATCTGAATAAACTTCATTATCTTGAAGCCGTCATCAAAGAAGCCTCGCGTCTTTACACTCCCGGGCCCATTAATTACAGACTTGCTTCACAAGATGATGACATTGGTGGATATACGTGGAAGGTAATTGAAAATAGCAACATCGATGCTGTGGTGTTTGTCAGTAATGGCTGATTTACCATTGTTACTTAATTTAGGCAGGAACTCAATTCATGATAGACGTAATTGGCATTCACAACCATCGTGCGCACTGGTCTAATCCTGATGAATTCATTCCTGAGCGGTTTCTTTCCGAGTCTAAAGATGTTATTAAACACTCTTTTCAAACATTTGGAGGAGGGCTACGTATATGTCCTGGTCAACAGTATGCAATGCTCTTGATGAAAATTGTTCTAGCATCATTATATAGTAGATACGATATAGAGTTGGCCAGTGAAAATGAGAAACCGGCGACTACGTATAAGATTACGCTCTCCTGTCATGGATTGATGGTTAAAATGAGGAGACGGAACATTATTTGAGAGTAACATAAGTACATCAGACTATTCATGTACCCTTACATTGCTACATAACTGACATTACAACAACAATAATAAGCACGATCTCATTTTGTAACCATGTCCGACTCGTAAAGTTATATGGAATATGTAACTTTCCGACAACCGTAAGCAAAAGTTTTTCTTGTCAAACTACCTAGTCATAAAAACATGCCGCGTAAAGTAATTTCCGTAAGAAAAGCTAAATATTAATTGCAAAGACAATCAAAACATATTACGATATAAAGGTAGTCTTATGAATATTTTGTAGGCAGACAAATGAGCGTGTCGCGCAAGTAGGTGTTTTCGACTGGTTACAAAGCACCAAAGATAATCGTAGTGCAAAGGAATGCTAATGTTGCGTCGTATATAATAATAAAGCAAGCAAATAAATAAAAACGCCTAATTATATAGTTATTGATGCAAATTTTTCTTTGTTCACAACATTGTTAGAAAAGCAGACAAGCTGTTTAAAAATCAACAAAGTTTGGTTCTCAATTATTAAGAGTTTTATTGCGCGTAAAGATAATAGTAAAACTTGGCCCTAATTTATAAAATGAACTAAAAATGAGAATGGGCTGTATGTTATTTGTAATGATTATTGGTACGAGACATTTTCAGTAATGCATTTCTTCACTTAATGAGCGGATACTAATACAAGTGGCTCGCGATATAAGAAACCCATAGGAAAAAATCTTAGAATCTTTCTTATACCGAGAGTTTATTAGTAACTTTCTTATATAGAGATAATTTCATATAGACTATTTTTTAGATCAACTTTCTTATATCAAATTTTAATTAGTGTTTCTTATATCGAGAGCTTCTTATATCGAGTTTCACTTGTACGACGAAATATTTGTTACAATATTACTTTCATTGAGTGCAACACAAAACTTTCAAGTTGCGGAGCTGAGGACCTCCTTTTGCTTGAACCCTTTTTTGGTGGTGGTTTTGGCGGCGGCGGCGGCGGCGGCGATATTAACATTGAGGGGAGAGATTATGTGCTTACGATTTGGATTTTCAAATGAGCAAAATATTGAAGAGTTTGGGGGATAATGTCTTTAAATATGTTTATGGTTATTGGTATTTGGAGCCTACGCGCATAAGACATGCAAACACAAATAAGTTCATGCAATTCGGATTTTTTTGATACGTTCAGGTTCCATTGTCTTTGTAGATATATTAATTCTATTATAACATCGTAAAATCCATCCTAAATTTTCTATTAATTAAAATTATTACGATAATAAAACAACCATCCCCACAGAAATCAAAATGCCTTCGCGTTTTGGAATCACGTGTGCATGACAATTATCACCTGTCAAGAATAAATTCTGCCTCTGGTATGGGCACTATTACTGTATATGTACAAAATCGGCGTATAATCATTCATTTCCCCAATACAGATATGAACACATACATGCACACTGGTTAAAAATCAGTGCTGTAGTTGTTAAAGTATGGCTGCATTTTTCGAAATATCCGGATACGTCCATTCGGTTGGCTCGAAGTATTGTTGGGTTGTAAAAATGATAATAATAAGACCACGTACAAAAAATTAAGTGATTGACATACCAGCATACTTGGATGATGAAACTATGTTATAATGCATAGTAATCGGATTTGAATTTATATGGTGTGCATACATAACAATCAGAGAGTCGTCATGTTATTGACAGGGTTTAATAACAGGCACACGATATTTAATTATGATGTCTGTCACATTCGCCCACACTTCAGGTATGACCTTCCCCGTTGAAAGTCTAGGAACCTTTAAATGAAGTTGGCCATTAAACGACCAATTCGTCGCGAAATTTCCTGGTTGCGTATATCTTCGTTTTTGAGGGTGGTGGACGGCAGAAATTGTTCTATTCTCTCATTCTGGAACAAAGCGAGGACGGAAGGTCCGATGTTGAACGAACCAAGCATTTCGAGGAAAACAAGTTCCCTTCCCATAAAGAGTTTTAGCAACATAACCTTGTATTGATCGTAGCGTGTTGAAAGCAAAACACAGTCCGTTACCTAACAATCAGTGTTATAAACCCCTTTTATTTTATTTTGTTAGGGTTTGACCCGTTCTGAGAATGGGTCAGCCCGTTTCAAGATTGTCACATAGTTTATTGGTGCAGGAGATTATTCTGATGTGACAATTCAAATCCTAGACGGGCGCAACATTTTTGGTGAAATTTTACTGCTATTCTCATTGCTTTCCTATATCTAACGATTTCCTGACGTCAACATCGCAACCTTTTTTTCGAATTAGATTACAACGATTCGATGTCTTACAGCATTCACTAGACCTATTTAAATGAATGATTATAGTCGTTAGCATAACGACCTTCTACACAGAGTATGAATTGTCGAACCAATTGCTTTTATGATTCTTTCCTTAGAATTACGATATCGGGAGCGTTCAGTATATACGTAGTACAGAATGATGTGATATGCGAAGAAACCTTTTACTTTGTAAAATTTATTTTACGGATGTTTTATAAATTATGAGTAAACACTGCGAACAAATTGTTTTATAAATTTTATAAAAGCTCTGCTCACAATCATTGTGTTCAGCGCCGTTAGTACAGTGGTAGAATTGAAGCTTCCCAAGCTTTAGCCCCGGGTTCGATTCCCGGACGGCGCAATCAAAACTTTTCTCCGCCTAATATCCGTTTTGTGACTCGCACTTAACCCTACCAAAAGTGAGTGGTCACTACGAAATTTCGCTAATACATGAAGTAAAATTTTTACTAGTGCAACCGGCCATGATGCAATAAGTAAACCTGTTTACAATATCTGTGAGCATATACCTTACAATATTGATGATAAATGGGGCAGACTGCAACAAAACCAGACAAAGTGAATATTTTATTACGTGACATAAATGAGAGGTGTGGCTGTAAAATTGACCAGTGTGACTGATGACATTTTGAAAAATAATAATGGTGCTCATTCATAACTTATGGACTTGTTAATTTAATTTTCACTTTATCATAGCAGAATGTGATGAATATAAACCATAACAGGATTAATATAGGATTATCTCTATATAAAAAATATAAATATGAAACTAATTTATATCAAATCCACTATGGAACCAAAGAATTACAGCACTATTAGAAGCATTCTAAAGAAAGCCCAAGGAGAAAAAATTGCTCCGTACGTTTTTAAAATCAATGACACCCAAACTCTCCAGGACTATCTAGATAAAGAAAAAATCACTTATGAGATTTACCAAGAAGAACGAAAAATAATAAACAATAAACGAACATTGCCATCAACTTATAATGAACCAAGGAAAAAACGAAAATTAGAAGACAGGTAAAGGGAAACAGTTTAACGTAAAAGGCCTTCACTGATCGAACGACTTGTTAACGAAAGATCGTTCCTTATGGTCTTGATAGAAGACCGCTTAAGCGTATTCATTGAACTTTAACTCGCATTTTGCATTTGCAATTAAAGAGTCAAACAATGTAGAAATAATTCAATTTTTTCGTAAGCATAAATTTTATTATTTCGATTATTGAATGCGCGCGCTTGAAATATAAATAATAGTAAAAGCACCAAAGTGATTGCATGGGAGGAAAATACTCACAAATGACGCTGCGAATGCCTGTTTCGAGAAAAATACGACAAGAGTAGTGACGAAGGTCGTAACAACGTAGTTGGTAACATACGAATATACTTCGCACAGCAAAACGTCGTGCAAACCGTCGCCACAGAAATGGTTTGCAGTTGAGAGTCCAACGCGCAATGGTATCCTCCGCGTCTTCCCGTGAGGAGCAAAATCTCCAGCGAGCAGTCGCTGAAGCTTTCGACATCGACTATCTTGATCCTTTTGACTCGGCCTCGCGATTTTTTGAGTACTTGAAAATGCGTCTGAGAGAGTGGGACCGCAAGGTCATGTATTCTCCCTATATTGTCCTTCCATGATCGGAAAATCTCGTCTCATCCAATATACCTCACCGTGATATATGTGTGTTTCCGCACAAGACAGAGTACTGGCTATCCACTGGCAACTAATCCTGTTATTGCACATTTTGATACCATCTGCAGTGAGACCAACTTTGATTTGGAACACTGTGTTGACAAAATGGTTTCATTCCTGGCAGCAGCAATAACTTGTCTCCATGAACATGTGCTAAAAAGAACTGTACCTTCTACAAAGAGCAAGCAGAAAACCAAAAACAGTAATGCAGGCAGCAAGCTGACCCCGAAGGAGTGGTGGGATTATCACGTCAGCAACAATAAAACCCAGCTTGAATTCTGGGAGAAGGTCATATCTAAAGCTAATGAGATTGATAATGAACATTTCAAGACTAGTGCTTTGAATCCAAGTGATAAGGATAGGGTGAGATGAAACTTGCTGCAAACAACCTGCAAGGAACTCTTTGAAAGTTCTGCACTAGATCTTGGCTGACACAACCTGAAACTTGTGTTTGCATTTGATGAAGCCTGGTATCTTTTGCACAGTTCCGAATCACCTGTCGACCTACACTTACCTAGCAAAAGTATCAGCTACTCTACACAATACCACTGTTAGGAGATATCTTCACAATGAAGGTTTTAAGAGTTATGCTATGAAAAAAAAAGCCTCTGTTAACTGAAAAACAACAGGTGGAATGATTGAGGTGGTGCAGACAGAAACATAATTGGGTAGAAGAATGGAAATGAATAGTATGGTCTGATGAGTCAAGATTTGCTCTTTTTAAGTCAGATGGTAGAACAAAAGTGTGGAGGAACACTGGAGAGGCTTATAACAAAGACTGTATACAACCTACAGTTAAATTTGGTGGGGGATCAGTAATGTTCTGGGGATGTTTTAGTTGGGATGGGATTGGCCCTTGATGGAAACATGAATTCTGATGGTTATGTTAATGTTCTTGCTAATAATTTTATACCTTGGGCTAGGGATTATCCAGATGCTATACTCCAACAAGACAGGGCCCCCTATCATACTTCCTCATACAGTCTTTGGTGGCTGTCAACTCATAATATCCAAACTCTAGACTGGGTCATGCAAAGTCCAGATATTAATCTGATTGAGAATTTATGGAACCATTTAGACTTTTTGGCAGTGTACTCTGCTTTCCTTTCACCCAATTGTCTCTCTCTTCATTTTTTAGATTTATCTAGTGCTTTCTCAGCTTCTTCACGTTCCATTTCTACTTCATCTTCCAATTCTTCTATTCTGTCATCACTTTTTTCCAACTCTACCTTCAATGCTTCAACTTCTTCTTCCAATTCATTTACCTTAGCAGCTTTCTTATTGGAATTCACAGTCAATTCATTTCAACCACTAATCATTTCATTCTGAGAAAGATTTCTGAGGTCATAATAATAATAATGATAACAACTTACACTGATTGAATCTCATCCTTCATAACCTTTTTCTAAGATTCCTTGGAAAGTTAAGTTTTCTTCTATTTTGCCTTCTCTTGCTCACTTTCTAAATAACTCTTTACTTTCTTCAGAGCTTAATTTGATCAGGTTAATAAAAATATCTCTTTTAGCCTTATTTCTTACTTGTCAATAAACTCTTGTTTGTTCATAATAAGAGTAATATTGATAAGCAGTTAAAATTGCTTGTTTTCAAGATGGTTCAGTAGGAAACATCTTACAGAACCAAGCTCAATTCTCTTGGTCACAATGATATTTCATAACTGCATCAACTACATCTACTTCTGGATTATCAGTGTAATGACTTTCACTTAAGATAGTTGCTATTCATTCTCTAATTTGTTCATTGTTTAACTGTTTGAATTCTGATGGAGTTTTTAATTGCTCAACTTCTTTTTTCAATAATTCGTTCTCTTCTAATAATTATTTTTTTTTTCTTGTTGTTCTTTTATTATATTTACCATGATTTTTTATTTATTTATTTATACGGCTATGTTAAGTATATAATTATTTTAATATTCCTTTTACTTAAACTTTAAAATTATAAAGTGGGAATGCTTGTCAAAAATTAGATAGAGAATTTAACGCAGCGAGGAAATTAATGAATTTTAGTCTAAATATTTTACTCATTGCTGGTATATATTGGTCTTGGACAAGTAATATCTTTAAATCCATCTCTGACAAATGGGTGAATATTATGATAAAGATATTCTTGTCTTTTATAATCCAAAGGAGGCAGAGTTAGAACTAAAATAGAAAAAGATTTAATTTCTTTGGTAATTTCAGAAATGCTTGCTTTTCTAGTTTTTAATAAATTAAATTCAGTAAAAGCATCATTAGCAACCAGCTGAGCTTTGACAACTCCAGGATTGGCTGCTTCGAATACAAAATGTTGATATTTTTGTAAACCACTCAATTTTTTAAAGAAAATTCCTAACACCGAATTAAGATCTAAATATTGAAAACCTTTGCCGTTTTCATAGCACTGAGCTTTGTTTAATCTTGCTGTACTTGATTTTTTCGATTTTATAGGATCTTTATTGACAACTACAGAGAAACTGCTAAAGCTGTTTTTAGACAGCTAGTACATGAGGAAGCATATGCTAACTACATTACTAACTGAATCAATAAAGAAACTTGGCCTAATGCCTGGTGTAAACACAATGTAAGAAGCTAAATTAGAAAACCACAGAGGAAAAACTAATTTAGCAAGGGAGAAAGTAAGTGAGAGGCTATGTCCCACACTTGCGAGCAGGACAGGGAGCAGGAAGGTTAGTGTTGTATTCCCGAGGCCATCCAGTAAAACGGAGGAAAAACGGAAGCCGAAACCCCGAGGCGCAGTAAAACCGAGCGAAGGAGAAAACGGTTGGAGGTGGAGAGAGGACCTCCCGTCCTTCCAAGACCACCGAGAGGAGAACGGAAAGAAGAAAAGCGGATATTTTAGGTAGGTTTGAGGAACCCTTTCATTTACGACAACCACGGACCTTCTGGTGAAGTGGAAGTCTAAGGAGACGGAAACTGAAACCAGAGCCACTACAGTGGATGAGAGACAGGTGGAAAGTGTTCAGAGGGCCGAAGCTGAAACTGAAACACTGAATATTTAAGTGGTATTCTCTGTAGGAGTTAGTTGACACTTTGGTCATTGGAGAAGAGGGAAAGAGTTCCTGTGGGGTCTTCTAACCAGTCATATATACTCATGTGTTACCCTAAATTCTATGAAAAAAAGCCAAAAAACCCCCCATAAAAAACTGTCCCCCTCTCATCCTTACAATCTAAACTTTCCTTTTAAATTTAATTAGCAAGTAACCATGTTAATACAGGTATATTCAGGTTTGGGTTTTGTCACTTTGGTTGGTGGTTTATGTACACAATTAAGCGGGTGTGAATATAATCAATATCATAAATAATAGTCGAAGAGCACAACCACATGACATAATGAGAAACCCATACAGTTAACATTTTTTGGGGAATAAAATGTGTGACTGTAGGGTGGTCTGACTGTACTATTAAAAAAGGAGTATCATCGTTATTATTTACTAGGTATATAGCAAACATACGTTCAAGACACAACTCTTTCGTAAATGTGATAAATTTATAGTTAATAATAATATTTATTGAATGAATAGAAATAATTGAGATTTTCCTATCTCAGCGGCTGCCAAGTTCTCTGTTGCTAACGCAAGCATTTATCTCGTCTATGACAAGATTGACAAGCGTCATATAAAACCTGTCATTCTGTCGGCTAGATCGACTCTACGGCTTAGCAAATATATGAGTCTTTCTAGCGTTGCGATGTTGTTCATCTGTCCCTAATAATGGACTGATCAGTGCATATTTTTAACGTATTTGCTAACTTCTAACGGTTTGTCTATAGATTGATGGATATTTTCCTGAAGGCTGTAATTGTCCAAATTGAATACGCGAGTTGTGCGCTTAATGAAAATCGATAATGAATAATCATGCCGCCGCATAATGTTTAAGAAAAGGGTATTATAAATAAAGGACATGAAAAAATCCACGATTCTATGGTAGCCTCACTAGCCCTAACAGATTTGGAAATTGGATAATGTCTGGGACGATGGTGTTCGTCAGCTCTTGTCAAATAAGGCATTAATATAGCAAACAATAAGAACATAAATTTTTTGAATTCCGTAAAGTTATGTGATGCCTAGTATCAGAGTCTGATTGATCACGATATCCGAATGTAACTGCGTTTTAATAATAAATATAAGTTTACCAGACGTTAGCGTAATTGATGGTGCTGGCGAATGATTAGTCAACGATTCCGTATTTGTATTTCTTCTGCGTTGGGTCAATATTTGTTCGATTTACAATGTTGAATGAGGAATATGTTATTTCTTGATAGATTGAAGTGCTTCATATCGAATATGATACGATCTGATGTTATTATTATGATTGTAAAACTATTCACATGTCACTAATACGAAATTGAATCATTATATTAATCGCACAAGTAATCTCAAAATGGCTATACGAAATACTAATTTACCATTATGGTATTACCCCTTCTAAAGGGCAGAAGAAGAAGAAGATTCACTCCATCGCCCTGACTATTTTTGTTATCGAAAATTTTATATTGCCAAATAAGGGCTAACTATGTTGGTGTGATATTGGATGTCATCCGCATTTTTTTCTTTGGTATTATTTTCGTTTCGTTTGAAGGAGCATTACTATGAGGGAAATTACAACAATCGTTTGGTAATAATTGTGTCAAGTCGCGCGGCCGATTATAATATGTATTTGTCGTATTTCAATACTCGTCAGTGTGACTCGACTATCCTTGTTGTGCGAGTGAATGAATAGCTTACGAATATGACGCAGTCCCAATGTTTCTTTTGAAACACCATAAGTATTCCGTCTTTTGATCGACAAAATTGATACGCTTCCCGTCAATAATCTGATCTTTTGTCGAAAAAATATTCGTTGCTAATGGATGTACGAGTGCATGCTTTTTTATCATCAACAAACACCTTTCCGTGTTTTTCTGGACAAATTGTGGTTGCATTATTTGCTTGGTCGCCATTGAGGAACGATGAGTTCTCTCTCGCAATTTCTTTCTATGACATGTTCCACGTGCCAGAGACAGATTTGTACAAGTTGTTCTTTTATCCTATGTTACCTCCATAGCATTATCCAATCAATGTTTTTATCAACCAAGAAAAATTTTGGGAGCACGTTCTCATGCCGTAAAGCAAAATAAAATAAAATAAAATAAAATAAATTCACGGTCACAATTTTGAATTCTGTTGTCGCTAGGACTGTTCTAAAAACAAATGTGTCCAAGTACAGCTATGGCAGCGATAAGTCATACAGTGTGGGACAAAAAAATCCGGAATTACGAAATTACACATTACGCAAGAACTAATGGTGCTAGTAAGATGAAATTTACGTAAAAAAATCAGTACGGAATGTGTTCACCATTACTTTCTATGACAAGCT